TTTGTGTGTGTGTGTGTGTGTGTGTGTGTGTGTGTGCGTGTGTGTGTGCGTGCATGCATGTGTGTGCATGTGTGTGCTTGTGTGTGTGCGTGCATGCATGTGTGTGCTTGGGATTTGTTCTTCAGGAACGGTAAAATTTTATAGGTCGTTGTTAGTGTGTTGTTGCTGTTGTAGTTGGAAAACGTAAATGTTATAGGTCGTTGTTAGTGTGCTTCTCTCCTTTGGCTTTCGAGCAGAGGAGGGAACGTAGTCTGCGTGGTTCGACAAGCAGAGGAGGGAACGGAGTCTGAGTTGTATACTTGGTTTTTGTGCGGGTAGGAGTTTTTCTTTTCTATTTTTCAGTCTTAGGCTTCCTTTCAATTTTCAATTTTCAATTTTCAAATTTTCATAGATGGCTTTCCATCCTGGGAACGGTAAAATTACGGCGAGACCTGAATGAATCTTACGGGTGCAATAGAAATCCTAGTAGCATGAGTAATCCCGAAGTGAGTGTCTGCACTTGTGGTCTGTTTTCACATTTTCTGTATGCTATTGGAAATTAAGGACTTTTTTTTTTTTTTTTTTTTTTTCCTCCCATCCCAAATTTGTCCCCTTTCTGGCCCTCATTCCAAATTTGTATCATTTTCCATTCGGAACATGCTATTGTGTTTGAGAACTTAACTCAACAAATGTGTGAAAGTAATGACTTAACTCAACAAATACATGCAGCGCTAAAATTGTGGACGATGACACAAACAGAAAACCAAATGAAACTGTGTCCGATTCAAAACAATCTTCTTTTGCGGAGTTATGTTTAGCTAATACACACACACACACACGTGGACCCACATGCCGACCCGAGCCCAATCACACACACACACACACACACACCACACCCACACCGACACCCACATACGCACGCGCACCCACGCCTGCGTCTGCACCTGAACCCACACCCACCCACACACGCACACGCACAGACACACACACACGCGCACCCACGCAACGGACCTGCACCTGAATCCACACCCACCCACACGTACACACACACACACACACACACACACACACACACACACACACACACACACACACAGTCATGCGCACATACACACACACAGCTGAGAAACTATGTGAAGGACAAGAACAACATTGACACACAGTCATGCGCACATACACACACACAGCTGAGAAACTATGTGAAGGACAAGAACAACATTGACCAACAGCCATTTGGGACATGAAGGTAACTTGGAACAGTGCAGCAATGACCGATGTGACACCTCTGCAAGGATGCATGGACCAATTGCAAACGGTCCAAACTCTTTTAAGGGGGCAGTTGCAAGGTGAAAGAGCGGCATAGTGCACAAGCCTGTGAAAAACAGAAGAATGGATAAATTGTTTCTTCGGGAGATAGAGAAAAGGTCAGAAAACTCGATCATTTACAAGAACAGCGCTCTGCAGAGCTTGCAAAGTCGCTCACAACTACATCCAAAGTCTTTCCTCTTGGCTTCCAGAGGGATTCAGTCCGACAGCTTGGAACTGTCTTCATGTCTTTTCGCAATCTTGCACCGTATCATCCGGTATGATAATCTCGTAGGCAGCAGCCTCAGGATTGAACTCGGGGATTTCCATGAACTGCAGATCAATGGAGAGGAGAGAAGAGAGAGGAATAGGACGAAGAAACAGAGGAATAATGTAATTGATCATGTCAATTAAGAGGGACTCTTTTTGGGAAGGGTTGGGGTTGGTTGGGGTGTGGCTAGGGAGAGGGAGTATCCTTTTCTCTGATAGGAAACAATAAAAGTTGTCGCGCGAACTAGCAAAAAGAGAGGGACTGTACTCACATAAGGACTGACGTTGGATGCATCTGACAGCAAAAAACTTCATCCAGATGCAGTGAAAAGGCTCTGACACGAGTATATATCCCCTGAAGACAGTGAAGAGTTCTTCAACAGTGATGCATTCTTGTGTAAGCATTTTTTGAATATGAACCACATATCTCTTCCTGCATTACATACAACTGATTTATGTCAAATTATGTGTGTTATCCTTTCGCAGGGCCATGCTAATCGTCGCTGTATTGTTCCAATTTTATCGGATGTCATACAAGTGCAAGGAAATGAGCAATCTGAATGACAATAAACCAGATTGCAGCATTCCATAGAAATTCAGACAACTTCGTGCACGAACTGAAAGCGGATTGCGAACCGAGATAACACCAAATAAGTACGCGCAAAGGGTTGAAGTCGCATGATAATGAAAGCGGTGTTTTTGCCTCCCGTGCTTCCCATCACAAATGTGAACAATGTAGCTCTTCTGCATTGACGCTTAGCGCGTGAACTACAAACAGACAGATCCTATGACCTGGATTCCTATCTACAACAGGTCAACAACGAAGACCATCTTCCGTACGGATGCATGAAGACTCCGTGCGTATGGAACGCTTCTTGTCCACCAGGTGAGTGCCTTGACCTCCACACTCCGCCTCTGGCTATGGCTGCTGCGCCCAGAAGCTACCTCATGCCCCGCCAGTTCCCTTCTTCCCTCTGCGGACTGGCGCTCATCCGCACGAGCGAGCGCTCCAGCAGCTCTGCTGCGTCCAGCCAGCCAGAATGTTTGGGTGAGACAGCCTCTCCCTCTTTTTGGCTGGACTGGCTGCACCCTGTCCCAGTACTTGCACCCCGGGCCCCTTCCGGAATGTGCCTAGGGCCTAACTGCCCGAGCCGTCGGCCTCAGAATCTGAGCCCTAGGTCTCAGCGTCTTCAACCACCTGTGGGTTGGGCCCTACCGGTTGGTTGAAGATGCGGGGTGCATCACCTTCCTACGGGGCCCCACTTTCTGCTCTCACAGGCCTCGATGCAGGCCAAGGCCAAATTTTACAGGCCCGGCTTCACTTAGGGCGGGCGCGGCCTTTCCTCAGTATTGCCGAGGGCCACAGTCCTCACACAAGCTATTCCAAAGGAAAAAGAGGGAAAAATAAAACACCCTCAAATCGGGCCTCAAATCAGCCATTTCTCTGACCCGCTCGAGCCATTTTGATTCGAAAAAGTAGGGCCCAATCACAGCCAGGTCCAGCTAGGAAAACCCTGGTGTGAGCACGGTCCCAGTCATCTGCTTCTCAGAGTTCCCTCGTGTTCCCCTGCCAGGTCAGCATTTCACACTACAGGGGGTTTACTCCTGTTTAGTTGGGGTTGAGGCACAAATTGACCGTCCGTATCTACAGGTCGTATGCCTTCCTTTCCCCCTTTGGCCCCAACCCCTTTTGCCCCTGCTACCCTGGCCCCAGAGGCTTGGTCCCATACCCTGCCTGCTCCTCGGCCTTTCTGGGTGTTCACCTGCCACTTCAGCTTTTCACACTGCAAGGGCTTTTACTCCCGTTTAGTTGGGGTCCAGGCGCAGATTGATCCCTAACCCCTTTGCCCTTTCCGCTTGGCCCTAACCCCTTTGCCCTTTCCGCTTAGTCCTAGCCCCTTTGCCCTTTCCGCTTGGCCCTAACCCCTTTGCCCCCAATAGCCTGGCTCCCTAGGCTTGGTCCCATACCCTGTCTCTGTAGAACTCGGTCCCAGGACAAATTAGGTTCCAGTGCCCCTAACTTTGTCCCAGTAGAAGTCCAAGTGATCCTAACTTGGTCCTGGTACAAGTCCCAGTACCCCTAACTTGCTCCCACTATCCGTGACTACCGTCTTCACCCGAATAGAACGCCCGGTCATTATCGCCGCATCTGGACTGAAAGTTGGGCCAAATGCAGCTATAATGACCGGGCGTTTTATTCCGGTGAAGACGGTAGGTCTCTGTTCGAAGTTTGGTTCTAGCACTCCTAACTCGGTCCCAGTATCCCTAACCTGGTCCCATACCCTGACTCCGTACAACTTGGTTCGAGTACAAAATATATTCCGGTACCCCTCCCTCTGTAGAGATGGCCATTCAGGTGAAACAAGAAGTGCCATTCCGAACCCTACACACACTCACACCCCTGTATTGCCGTCAGCTCCTTGCTTCGCTCTTCACGGTCGTCACCCTTAACCCTGTTTCTTGGCGATGGCACATTTCATCCAAGGCTGCAATCCCTACGAGGATTCCAGACCTGGTTCATGGCTGAGGGTATACTCTCACTGGACACTGTTCTCAACGTATACAATGATAAAAAAAATGTCCAAGTTCAGTCTCAAAGCTCTAGTGCGCATGCAACATGACGTGAAACTACAGTCTCAAGTTCTGTACTATACTAGCCGGGGTCCCACCGCCCAAAAAAGGACAGGTGATGGAATAATGTGTCAGTCTGTCGGTGGATTAAACTAGCCTAGCCGGGGCCCCACCGCCCAAAAGAGGGTGCACGACTTCCTGATGGTGTTTCGCAGTCACAGAATCAACAAAAACTGTAAAAACATATATTAGCAAAGGTCTGATGTTCGGAAAGTACGGTAGATTTTACCACCTCAGTGCAGCCGTCGTGTGCTCATATTGGGTCCCAAAGCCCTCAATTTTTAAGAAGGATCAGCTAACTACCAGTTCGCCTGAAGCTAAGTTGGTCGCTTGCCTGTCATCCCTGCACAAGGGCCATGCGAATCTCCACTACGTCATTCCAACCCTAACAGATGTCCTGTGACTCCAAACCAAAATATCAAGGTTGTTCTTTAGGTTACTCCGCACAGAGAAAAAATAATAATAATAATAATAAGTTGAATAAACAAAAATGATTGGCCCGTGAAAATATATAAGTGCCAAACCAAATGCATATTTCAATCAAAGCCAGTGTGACCCGGTAGGAGTGATGTTTTGGTGGACGTTTTGCGGGCCCGCCCCATTCGCCCATTTTCACTGTCTATGGGCAGGTGGATCACGTGGCAGGAGAACAGGGTTCCATTTGCCGGCAATTGTGATTACCCTCCCTGTTGGGAAGCAAGGCCCCTGGGCGGATGTTTACCTCTTCGCAGGCCCGAGGAGTCCGTTTGTAAAAAAAATAGTCTCCAGGGAACTGGGTAGTTTAAACACCCACCCACTACCCCAGGGGGTCTTAGCCCCCGTCTGGGGAGGCTCTGACGCAAATGCACATGCACCCGCGCAACGCACCGCGTTAACGGCCTAAAAACGTTAACGGCCTAAAAACATGGAGTTACTGGCGGTTTAAACCACCAGTACCTCCTGAAAGTGCTCCTCGTTAACGGGCATGGATTTTGGGATGAACGGGCCTGCGCCAGTAGGCCCGATTCAGCCAAGTGGAAACGGGGGTTTCCACTTTTGGCTGGCCGTTAACGCGGAGCACTTTCAGGAGTTACTGGCGGTTTAAACACCCACAACGTCTACCAGGCAAACGTTTGAGATGACGTTGACCACGCGCACATTCGAAAAGTGGAAATCGCCCTTCTTGACCTATGTGGCTGGCGGCGCCAGTCGAAAAGGAAAAGAAAAAGAAAAAAAAGTGTCACGGCGATGGGTTTTGGACTCGGAGCACCACAGGAAAAAGAGGCAGCTCAGTGGTACTGGTAGCTTTTTTTTTGTTTTTTTTTTAAGTACTGGTAGTTTTAAACTGGCCACTGCCGGAATGAAAATCGTCAATTTAAAAAAAAACAAAAAAAAGGAGTTATAACTCCTGTCAGCTACCATGATGTTCAAGATAACCTCTTTTTGAGAAACAGAAAAGAGGGGTGGGAGCCTGGGAGGGGAAGAGTTGCCAGTTCCGCCTCTCCAACAAGTCTTCGCAGAAAGTGCCCCAAAAGGGAAAAAAAGGAAAAACCAATTCCAGATGGGAAAAAAGGGGAAAACCAATTCCATATGAGCTGTCCCCAGCCACACACACAAGACAACACTAAACAAGTGTTAGCCCACATGTCAAAAAAAGCATCGTAATTACCACCAGCGAACTGTGGAAAATCCTATGATACCAACACACCATTGCTCTCAGTGATCGGCACGTGGCAGTACAAGTCATCTGCTCTCACCATTACGGCCACACTCGGAAAGTCAAAACCACCCGATGTGGGGAACTTAATCCTTAAAATCCTCCTCTTCCCCCTCCCAGGTGGTCTCAATAAGGTGATTTTCCAAGAACTCGATCTCTCAAAGGGCCCATTGCAAAACTGAAGCCTGGAATACAATAACATATAAAGTGAAAAACTATTAAAATTTAAGAACTAATAAAAAGCATGTTTCCTGTGAAGAAATGAATGGGTAGATGAACCAGACACGACCCCGCCTTCTCTCTCTCTCTCTCTCTCTCTCTCTCTCTCTCTCTCTCTCTCTCTCTCTCTCTCTCTCTCTCTCTCTCTCTCTCTCTCTCTCTCTCCTTTTGCTTGCTCTTGTTGCCACCTGTCCATGTTGCATTCAGAACACGTTTCGGATGTGCGAGTATATTGGATGATGACTCTAAACATTCAACTAAATAATAATTGGACAGTGAATTATAAAATTTTAAAAGCGTTAGTTCAAATTGAACCGGCAACCTCAAGCTTAACAGCCTGGTGCCTCAACCACTGTAACCAGGGTGTTCAGGAGTGGAACCATGGCGGTCCGGATATCGACATTTCCAGCCCCTGGGTCAAACGGTGACAGACGTCTTGGATTGCCAGGGCCGTCAGTGAGGCCCTGGGCCACCCGAAAAAAAAAAAGTGCTGACGGAATTTCTACCAGACCATACA